CCTCATAGACTTCTGCACATTGAACGTTATTTCCTCATCATTGAGTCTCATTTTGAGCTCCCCTGTCTCACAGTCAATTAGAGCTCTCCCCGTGGCCAAGAATGGTCTTCATAAGATTATAGGAATTTCTTCATCCACTTTGCAATCCAAGATCACAAAATCTGCAGGGAACACAAATTTCCTCACCTGAATAAGCACATCATCAAGGATACCGAATGGACGCTTCACAGTCCTATCGGCCAGCTGCAGCAACATGGAGGTGGGTCTAGCTCTCCCAATGCCCAACCTATTATAGATATCCAGGGGCATAAAATTAATGTTGGCCCCTAAATCACAGAGCGCCTTAGCAAAGGCAAAATTCCCAATAGTGCATGGAATTTTAAAGCTACCTGGATCAGACAACTTTTCAGCAATAGGTATCGTCACCACTGCACTACAGGTCCGAGTAAGTGTAACCGTAGCCAAGTCTTGAAAATCAAATTTCCGGGACATCAAGTCCTTCATCATTTTTGCGTACCCAGGCATCTCCTTTAAAGCTTCAATCAGTGGAATATTTACCTGGATTTGTTTGAGTATTTCAAAGAACTTTTTATACTGCTCCTCCTTTTGATGCTTGGCCAACCTCTGTGGAAAAGGTGCAGGAGGTCTCTTCTTCCCATTCACTTGGGACTTCTCTTTATCAGATTCTATTTCAACTACTGGCTCTTCAACTGGCTCATCTACTTTCTCGATCTCCTGCTGAATGTTCTTTTCTTCCTGAGCAGGTTGGACTGTCACTTCTGTCAGTATCGTAGACTCATCCAGCTCAATGCGCAGTGGAATGAATGTCTCATCCTGTATATTTTCTCGAGCTCTCTCTTGTTCTACATCTAGATCCCTGCCATTACGGAGACTCATTGCCATCAGCTGCTCTGGACCCTAATCTTTTGGATTAATCTGGGTGTCTATAGGTAATGTCCCCTGAGGACGGTTGTTCAGAGACATTGAAATTTTGCCCAATTGCACTTCAATATTTTTGATTGCTGCGTCATGTGCATCTACTCTTTCATTTATTTT